TGAGTTCGAGTGTTCCCACGTCTTTGACTGATGTACCAATGACCTCCGCGATATCCGCGTCGCTTATCGGCAGCATAAGGCGAACCTTTTACTGCTTCCCCGGATGGACCAGTAACGTTGGCCGCTTCGTGACCTTTTTCGCCTATTACCACGTCAAATTCGACAACTTCTCCATCACCGACACTGCGTACAGCCTTTCTCGGATTGTTCTTCACGATGGCTGACTATGAAAATTATTAACACGATCAGAAATTTGAAATTCAATCTAAATTCATTCTTCATTTCTTTAAATTATTATGAAATTAAATATACTTACTTGATGAACAAATACGTCTTCCTTGGTGTCATTCCTAGAAAAAATCAAACAAATTTCATATGATTATCAATTAATCGAATTATAGAAAACGAATTCATTTATGATTCGGCATAAATTTCAAGATCGTTTCGTTATATGAAAATTTTGTGTGTCTGAGAACATGGATCGAATGTTAAAATTTTTTACGTGCGATCCAATGGGTATTCAGACAATCATTTTCTCTGCCACCGTTTTTGAAATTATTCCGTTTAATTCGCGCAATGAACGCAAACAACGGTGCGAATGACCAGTGGCAAAATTTGATCACGAAATATTTTCTCCAATCTATGGGTAAACTTCTATTAACTGCAATGTTACGAAAATCGCATCATTGCACGATAACATACAACACGCTTTGGCTACTTTCCAAACGCATAATGCGTTATATCGTTACCTATATATATCGGTATATATTACGAAGAAGCAACAAGAGAAGGGTAAAGAAGAGGAAGAAAGAGAAGAATTAGTAGAGAAGTAGTATGGGGTGGGGTATAATAGCTTGGAGGAGAGAGGGAAGAGAGTGAATAGAAAAGTACTAGAAATAGTCGAAGATAGAGGAACCATGAACGAATAAATGTAGTCAATGCACGTGTCAAATGAAATGCCTGTTATTTATTTGTAATAAATATTAAAATGTTCAAATCAAAGAAATCAGAAATGAATCTGCATTAATAAAATTAAATCACTTTGTCAAATCTATCTTCAAGATTGATCTTTTTATAATATACCTATAATATATCTATATATTATATAATATAATATATATATAATATAAAATATCAATATTAATGATAAATTAAAAATTTCTATTTTTTTTATTTTATATTATTTTTTTTTTATATTATTAAACAACAATTTCAAAATCGAAATATGTAAAACTAGAACAAAACTAAAATGCTTATTAATTTCGAATATTAATTTACCATAAATAATATTAAATGCCATAGATATGATAAAAATATTTCAAAAATTAGAAGAAAAAAAATATTGTAATGAATATTAAAAAAAAAAAACAAAGTGAAAAAAAATAAAGAGATAAAAAAAAAAGTAAACGCAGTAAATAGCAAATCGTTACTAACCTGTTGATGAATCCATACCCACTCTTCACGTTGAACCACTTCACAGTCCCGGTCACTTTGTTAGCTGAAACCCAACAAAAACGAAATAGCACTAATTAAATATCTACCATCACGCAACCTGGTATTATTCGATAAACGTATTCTTAAATTTGATTAAGTTATTTCTTGGAAATTCAACGATTCAAATATGTCATCTTGTATTTGATCATTTTACAAAAAATTCATTTCAAGCAATAATTATAAAAATAATAATGACATGAAAAAAAAATATCAATATTAACGATAAATTAAAAATTTCTATTTTTTTGATTAAACATAACAATTTCAAAATCGAAATATGTAAATAAATATATATGTAGATCGATAATTAAATGATAATAACAATTGTTTACTTCGTATCATATTCATAACCCTATTTATGTTCGAAATCTTTGTGTTTACTAATTATTGTGATGGTAATGACAATTAAAAACGAACTATTCAAATTATTAGATTAGATGTTCACATAGCAAATGCTTTATATTACCAATGTTTTCATCAAAAATGAAAATACGCTCACATTTCTAGAATTTCGTTCATTAACGATTTCCATCAACGATTTGCATTTAGATCACAATTTACGCCTTGAAAATTCACATTTCGCGCGTTTGAAGTGAAATACAAAATATAAAATATCAGGTAAAATAACGGTATATTGATGCAAGCAGACGCGTGCACGTTTTCCTTTCTTTTCATTCCTCATAACCTCTTGAAATTGCAGTTCATTTTTCACTCGTAGAAAACTTTTCGCGAGGCCAATCTAAAGTGGAAGCTGATGGCAACGCGCCCGGTTTGCTCCGAAAACGAATCATTCAAACGGAAGCGAACGTTAACGGACAGTCGGAAACTTACGTAACTAAGTGGTGTTTTGCTTGATTTACGAAAAATACATGGAGAACGCGCGGAAAGAAAAACAGCAGAGAAATTTCCAGAAATTGGAACATTATGATGTAATAGTTAAATTTCAGATTATATTATTTTATATACATTTGATACAAATAGAAATAGGGTGAAAGGAAGGAATAAGAATAAAAATAAAATAAAAAAAAAAGAAAAGAAATAAAACTACGAAATCGAGGCGAGTGTATACTTTTGAAGCGTCTATACGGGTTTTGATGTACGCGTCTCTTTCTTTCCCTCTCTCCCTCTTTCTCTCTAGGAATCAAGAAATTTTAGTAGAACTCGGCAGTCGATGAGACTATCATGCAAGTTATTTTAATCGGAATAAAATAAAAAAGAATAAGAAGAAAACAAGTAGGGAAAGAATAAATTTCGAATTTAATCGATTTCTATGCAAAAAATTCGAAAAGATATAAATAAAGAAAAGAAAAATAGTAACCGGCTTGCCGGCCACATGCCACATGGCTGAACGTCTGCTGCTCCCCTAGACGCCATTATTACATGCAAACGATCTCGGAGAAACGAATCCGCTCTCTTTCTACTCGATTTTTACACCGCCGCAATACATGAAAAATAATATTGAGATTAAATATACTATTCACTCACCGATGATCAGCTTCTGCTGGCCAGCCTTTGGTTGTTCGGGCTGTTTTTCCGGGTCAGCCATGGTGGTGGTGTTAAGGTGTTAAGACACGCCGCTGCCGAACCTAGATGTTCCCGTCTTTCTGGTTGTGGTGTTGGTTCCCTTCTAATGTTCCCAACATGGCTGCGCCTCCAGGCGACCGTACAAACATCCTTCCTGTCTAACGAGCTCTCTGATAGGTTGGCTCACAAACAAAACCGCTCATTTGACCAATCCTGACTAGAGTTTCACGGAACGCGCGTGACGTAACTCACGCGTTACTTCCTTGATTTCTTTCTCGCTTGCTCGCTTTTTCTCGTGCTTTCTTGCTCTTTTTACCGCGCGCGCCTTTTCTCTCCTGCTCAATCCTCTATACCGATTGCAAACTATTCTATTTTATTCCACTTCTCTCTTTTATTTTCTCGTTTCATTATTTTGAATTTTATTAAATAAAAATGTAATTAAAGTTTTGTAATTTTATCTCTGATTTTTTCTTTTATTTTATGCGATTTATTATATCACATTCAAAAGCATTTTTCTAACGGAAATGCAACATCATTTCATATCTAAACATATTTTGTAAACTATGAATATTATTATTATATGTTAAATTGTGTATTAGAATAATTATTTATTTTTGCACTATAAGCTCAACCCAGTTATTAGAATAGCAACATTAAAAGTTAAATTATTTTACGATTATAACCATATTCATGATACTGATTATATTAGACAAATTTCATATGTCATATCCTTTCCAGAATACATATAATACCTACAAGATGTGTAGAGAGAAAAAATGCATTTACTATTTGTATAATTTCTATTTGATAAATATTTGATAACGAAATTCATGTAATGATAAATCATGAAATAAAATCATAGCAAATATATAGAAAAAAATGAAATTAGTGAGCAATTAATGAACAACTCGTTAATATATGAGTAACCAAGGACGAAGATTGTCAGGAAAGATTGTCAGGAAAGATTGTCATTGCAAATATAAAATGGATCGCTAATCGTACATGATACTCGTATTTCTGTTCAAATTTCATTTTTCAAATTTTATAACGTTTCGTTAAGAAGATACATTTGTTTGAGATTATAGAAAAAAATAATTAAATATTTCTTATAATTGTGACATAATAAATCACACTTATGTACTTTGTCTTTCTATAACATTCTTCTCATGTCACATTGAGTATTTTATGTTTCTTGATCGGATATGATTCACGAATCACGAATATCTAATATTTTTCTCATTTTATGTTAATTAGCAAATATTAATTTTCTTAACTGCTTT